TAGAAAGATAAGTTCTTTTTCCATAGAATAAGCATAATTGAATGTTTACTTCTTTGAGTTCTTGAGGAGTGGCTTACTTAGCATGCATAGTCTGAAAGCCAAGTCCTTATTTTGGGAGGTAATTTAAACTGAATTGCACACAGGAGCCTGAATGCATCAATTTAACGGAGTTAGAGAATAATATGACAGTTTTTATTTTTGCTTTTGCTGAAGAGAACAGTTCAGAAGGAAACTTCAGTAAGCTTTTTGGCCTCAGTTGCTTAAGATCCCAGCCACCTGACCTTGCACTTTCGGAAGCTCTTCTGTATTAGACTGACACCTTAGTATTTTTTTTTTCCCCATGTAAAACCTTTGACTCCCAACATAAGGGAGTTTTATCTGAAGTAGGAAATAATTTAAAATGGCTTATTTTTAACATGGGTAAACATGGTTTACCTCACTGCTGTGGCCCTCGTGTAGAATATGCATTCCTTGTCTCTAGCTGTAAGTAAATATTTATTTTGCAGAAGCTGTTTTTCAAAGCCTTGTTCATAAGCTGTCCATTAATCACATAGAGCTCAAACGTGGGCATAGGTCTTTGCTTCAGGAATTTCTGATATTTTATGTCGTCACATGTTCATTATGTCTATAACTTACTTTCTACACAGTTTAAAGCACTGATTTGTTTTATAAAACATGATGTGTAGTCTGTGTATCCTTGAGAATCTGTTCACACCTCTTCCCACTGTTTTAGTTCCTGAATTTGCTCCACTGACAGCCATGGTTTGGACTGAAAGCGGGAGATCATATTCAGGCCTTTGCTTCTGGAACTCATCCCAGCTTTCAGCTACACACACTTTGCGTATATTCATTTTTGGGCATTTTGTGAAGAACACCTTGTATGCGGGCTGTTGTATGCTCCTGACTGCCCCAATCCAAGATCAAAATTTAATTTCTTTCACTTCTCGGTAACTGCTGAGTATAACAATTTGAAGACTCAATTTAGGCTCTATTGAAAGAAAGATTTCTTTATTGGCAGTTTTACAGGCATAGCGAAAATTGTTAAATAAAAGCCAGCATAGATATAAAAATAAATGTGACTGAAGTGTATAACAAAGAAGTTTTGCCAACCTGTTCCTAACACTATGTTGTGAAATGTCTTGATCTTATACAGTGCAAAATGTCTTGCGTCACACTTCTTGAGAAGGTAAACATTTCTGTCTGTGGGTATTTCTGAGGATTCAGTGGTAATCCATGAGTTCTGGCAGGTCATTATATATGCCTCAGTGAGTAATTACAAAGCTTCCCATCCTGGCTGATCAAATTCAGCTTTCATTTAACAATGTTTTTTGGAGAATGGCTTGATTGGTCTACATCTAAGTGTAAACTGATTCATCTGGGCTGGAAGCTTAAGAGCAGGACAGATAGATGACTTCTCAAGGAAGATAAGGACTCTTGAGCTCCCGTGTAAGACACAGTTGCGATGATGCAACCTTCTCCTGGAGTCAGATTGGATTGTCTCAGCCCCCAGTGTGGGAAGCCAGTCAAACTGTTTTATCCTTTCCTTTTCCATCGTTGGCTACCTGACATGCAAAGCTTCCACCAATTTTCTCCTGGTGGGTAGTCAGGTTTTTCACGTGAGGCAGCAGGAGCCTGGCAGTGTACAAACCTTTGAGGACCAGTTGGGGAAAGCTCCTGTGTCAGGAAAGCTTTATCCATTGGGCTGTGTTATTTCAAGCAGTGATGCTATGATTGCCCCACCAGGTCCCTGGAATCTGCTGCTTTGGCCAGGTCTCCTCGTCAGAACCTCAACCTGTTTTTTTGCCACGTTGAAAGCTATTCTGTGTTCGTTCTGTCATGTTGACTCACATTCACTTGACTTCTTTGCATACTACTTGCCAAAATTCAGTGTATTTAAACATATATATGTGCTGTGAAAAGATTTGGGTTGCTCTCACTCAACAGAGTGGTTAGCTGCAAGTTTAACTTTTAAGCCATCTGGTTATTTCCAGTCAGAAATAAGTTTAGGGGTGTGCTTTAGTCTTGTTGAGTTCCCCAAGGTAATTCTTCAAATCCTTTAAGTCAATCATATCTTTAAACGCTGCATTGACTTGGAGCTTTCCAACCAGGAAGCTGGAGAAGAGATCAGAGACAAAATAAATGAAGATGTGGAGTGCAGTGGAGTTTTGCCAGTGCTGATTTGAGGAGGAATTCTAGTTATCTGCATTTTCCCTTTTCTTTTCTTTTTTTTTTTTTCCTCCCCTCTGAGTAGAGGGAATTCTTCAGTGATACAGCTTTGACTGCAGACATTTGAGAAGTTTGTGGTCTGAAGGCTGATAATTGTACAAGGATCATCCAAAATACCAGTTCTGCGACTACGTGTTTATTCATAGCTCAGATGACAATGCTCTGAGCTGCTAAGCGGATAGCTGGTTAAATAATTTTTTGTCTGCTACATAGTGCAAAAAAGTGTGATGCGTCCCAGTCAAAAAAAAAAACAATTGCTGATATAAAATAAAAGCATTAATTGCAGAATTAAAATGCATAGCAAATCAATTAGGTATAAATATTGTATATTAACCTCAAAGTGTGAACAAAGAGTTGTAACGAAAACCATTCTTATATCAAAATAATAAAAAAGCACAAATCTTAAATGTAGAGCTCTGCCTGTCAGAATATACACTCATTCTGCTGATCTTCTGTCATATCAGGTTTTTTTCCCTGTCCATTCTACCAGTAATCATCAGTAATGTGGGGAAGGAGGATCATCATCCCCTATCATGTACACTTAAATAAGCATCAGTGAATTAATTAACACTGATGCTTAACCCGGCATCTTTAGGTTTCAGGTTTAATACCGCTGTTGAGATTAAGCAGTGGCTGTTCAGAACCCTCATGGATATTGCTCCAGGTGCTCAACTTTACCTCTGCATTGTGTTAATCAGTCTACAGTAATGTCCATACATATATGAAAGTCTGGCACTTTTGAAATGAGTAGGAGTTTTACTACTGAGGCAGGAGTTGATGATCTAAGACAGACAAGCTGGAAGTTTGGGGAAGCAACACCATTGCAATGAATTATATTCCCTTCTTCATAGCCATAAAAATATAATTACTTTTATATACTGGAATATGAAGAGAAATAGTACTTTCAGCTTGGAAAAGAAACAGTTTATAGTTTACACTTAAAGTTGAAGCTCAAAATCTTTCCCAAACACAAATTTCAATACATTCTGTGAAGTTACTATCCTTTCTCTAAAAATAACTCAATCAACAGCAGCAAATAATACAGTTCTTCATGTAATGTAGCATGGATTGTAGGTTTCCAAGGTCAGGTTAGTTTAAAGTCTGTTGGTTGGTCTAAGCATACTAGTTTGAACAGCTCTGCCATGAGGTTCCTTTTGAGTTCACACCCAGTCCTCTATTTCTTAGGACTTCCACAATTCAGTTGATAAACTGTCTGCTTTCAAAGGTCAGAAAGTGCAAAATCTTGCCTATGAGCACAGGAGAAGGGACAAGGCAAAATATCCTTACTCCTCTGGGGAATACTTTTATAAAGTTGACCAAATTCCTGTGGCAGTGCAATACTTCTGAGATAGCAGATGAGGCACGGATGGGTTCTGCTGGTGACTTAGTATTCCAGGTAAATAGGCAGGTTCAAATTAATTAAAAGAATCAAAGTGATGACTGTGTCTCTTTTCCCAAGCTTGTTATGCCTGGCTTTATTTAAACAGGACTCCGGACTGTTTTGACTCAGCATTGAACGTGACAGCATACCTCAGGATGTCATCAACGCCCAAATAACAGGAGCTGTCTCCTTTCTGATAGCAGAGACGGGGTCAGAAAGAAGAATTCTGCCTCCAGCCTCCTGCATGATGGTGGGGAAGCTGCTGAGTTCAAAGCTTCCAAAAAATTAGAGTTTAAATTAATACTGGGGGAGGCAGGTATGGCCTTGGTCTAGCTGGGTAGCTGTGAGATGTACAGGGATATTATATGACTCAGGAGCACACTGCCAGTGCTGATGGTGAAAAGTCAAGTCTGTCACACGTGCACGCATCCTTTCAGCATAAGTGTGTGTGTTTAGGCATTTGTTTAAGTTTTAAAAAGCTCTGAGCCTTTGCCAGAGCTGCTGGGCTCTCAGCTTATTTCAAAATCAGTAGGACGATGGCTAAACATGGTGTTGAAAAAATCCCTGTTTAAGGACTCAGTGCTCCTGCCCTGTAAATGAAGGAAGGTATGAATATTTACTTTCCTGACAGAAATGTTGCATCGTTAATATCTGTACAGCTCTCCTGTATTAAATATTCTTGTCTTTTTATATTTAGTGCTGCATAAGAGACTTGTGTATGTGGGAGCAGTGGCTTGTCCCAGGGGCAGCAGCCCGGGAGTTCCCTGGTTGGAGGTGTGATGCTAATGCAACAGCGCCTCACATCCCATTGCTCTGTTTCTTCTAGGTGCCTTGAAGGAGGCAATTTTGATCCTCTCAATTGTTGGTAATGAAGTTAGTGCTGCATAGGCTTGCCCTGGTCTGTCAACCCAAGTGAAATATTCTGAACAGGAAATTCATGTTTACATGTCTTACAAAACACAGCTGAGTCAGGTGTGAAGTGCTCAGCTCTAAGGATAGTAAAGGGAAGCAGTGTATAGCATTATGCAGCATTTCTCAAAGTCTGTCTGAAACTTTGGATGCAAATTGCCAAGGGCGCGGCTTTATTTTATTACCACTTTTAGTTCCTGGACTCAGTGATAGGCCCCATCTTGCTGCAGTTTTTGATGGATGTAGGTTCTGTCCTGTAGCCTTTAGATCTTTCATTTGGCAATTACTTGTAGGCTTTTCTGTCTTGCCACTTCACTTTCTTTTTTTTTTTTTTTTTAATTGCCAAAACCTTCCTTTTTTTTTTTTTTTTTTTTTTTTTTTTTTTTTTTTTGAACTTGGTAAATAGGTGAACATTTTAGCAGCAGTTTTTCATGTTCTGAACTTAAGCTCTGGAATTTTTATCTTGTTTGTTTGTTTATTGCAGCTGGTGCACAGGATAAAATTGGCTGGGCATTTGGCTTGGGTTTGGAGAGGCTGGCCATGATCCTGTACGATATCCCTGACATCCGACTGTTCTGGAGTGAAGATGAACGCTTCTTGAAGCAGTTTATTGTGCCTCACATTTGGCAAAAAATAAAATTCCAGGTAAAATAATATATATATACGATAATAACTTTCTGTCAGTAAGAAGTGTGTGTAGCCCTAGAGAATATCACGTAATTAAAATTCTGTGCCATTAACAGATTAGGTTTTAAAGCAACAGCTTTCCAGCTGTCATGATGGTCTGATATACTGCAATAAAATTCAGCTTCTGATGATATCAGCCAGATAATGTTGTGAGTTGCTGCTGATACCCAGTGAATATCTCTTTTCTGAGTAATACTTAAGCACATATTTAACTTTTAAATTTATCCAGAATAGGGATTGATTTAGGCCTGTGTCTGGTTTGGGTGTTCTTGAATTGTGTCCATAATTCTGTTTCATTATAAAAATGTGTTTGATGCTGAGCATTCAAATATTGTAATACATTCCAAATTTTTCCCATTGTTTTCACTCTACATTCATTGAAATCAACGTGAGTTGCATTGTCAAACTTTGGCAAAATGCTTTGTGAATGTGCCTCGCCATCTTCAATGTGTCAGCTCTTTCCTACAGGTGATAGTCAGGGGAGAGTGCAGGCTCAGCTTGTATTTCTTTTGTAACTCCTCTACTTGAGGTGATTTTTGTAGTTGGAAACCTTGTCTTACTTTTTGTAGTTGCAAAGTAATCAAGCATAACTGGATTGAGTGGAAATGCTACTTCCATAATACTCTTCAGCACGAGCACAGTAAGGTTCACTTTGGGGGTATCACTTTGGGAGAGTTGAGCTGACATAGCTGTGTAGATGCTTGACGAAGTCAGGTACTAAAGCAGCAAAACGCTTTTTGCTGCTGCCTTTTACCATTTTCCTTGCTTTGATTGTGTACAGCTTGATTATGTTTTTTAAGAATTGAAAATATAAAAGGGGAAATCAACAGTGATAATGCTCAGATGATATTTGAGCAGTCTCCACATGAAATCAGTAGCAGCATCCATTTTTTAATTCATGGCAATTCTGGCACACCTCTGGTAGAGTCAAGAAGTCAAAATGGTGTTTGGATAGGTTTGGGGGAGTTTTGGTGGGGGTTTTTTTGGTTGTTGTTGGTTTGGTTTGGTTTTTTTGTTTGGGTTGTTTTTTTTTTTTTTTTTGTGATACTGGCATTGGGGTATTCAGATTGTAGTTATCACTTACAGAAAGAAGACAGGTTTTTGCTACTGTTCCTGAAGGTGGGTCTGCCTGTGAGTTTCTCTAATTTCCTACAGAATGTTTGTTGTTCTTTTCAATAAGGAGTGCTCAAGTCTCCTTTTCAGCCCATATCTTTCTGATTGGCATTGCTCCTGAGGAGTACAGATTGTGGCTTGGTTTATAGATTGCAATCTGATCTCTGATGGAACCAAGATGAGATTTATTGCTTGCTTTAAAATTGTGGATCCAAGCCTCAAACTGATATTAGCAGTAGATTGGGGTTTTGGTGAAAGGCCCAGATTGTCAGAATGATATGGTCTGATGTTGAAGGTGAGCCAAAGAGAGGGCTGTCTGGCTTCTCTAAGTTGCGTATCATTTTCATGTTCAGCTTCAGATAAAGTCAGGTGTAATGAACTGATCTGAAGAGGACAGAGGCATAGATTACTGTGGAAGGCTTAGAGGAAAGGACATGGTTTCTAGGAAGCTAAAAATGAAAGACTTTTTTTTTAAATTGATGCTGTTTGGTAACAGCTGAGCAGGAGTCACTGGGAGCACATGGTTTTGCACTGTTTTGCTGGGTAACTGTCTTGTGTCATCAATAGGAGAGTGGTGACAAGGTCTTGGTAGGTCTTTAAGCATTTCTTCTTGCTGAGCAGTGTTGGTTTCAGCTGGCATTGGTTCAACTTGGAACAAGGAGAAAAGTTCTACAACCCAGAACTGATGTAGAGAGAGTCGCGAAGTTGAGGCTTGCTGGCTGAAATACATTCTGAAGTAATAACATGAATCAGGAGGTATGATGCAATAGGTGGGGGACTTCAAGGAGAAGAAATTGTCAGCTGCCACTGTGCTCTAACTTGGATCAAAGGGAAAGACTGGAGTAATATTACCAGGCCATTACCTACTGCTTTATCACATTAATGTGTTGGCAGTTGTCGTATCCCAACAAATAGGCCAATGAAAAGTATACAGACTGGGAGAATGAGGGGTATGGGAGAGGCGCAGCAGAGGTGGAAAGATGGATTATTTTCAGTCTTTTCTTTCTCTCTTCTAATGAAAGGATATGGCCAACATTTTAGAAACAGATTTTTGCTCTGGTATCAAGCACTTCTTAGGGACCTTCTTTCCTTTTTTCCTTTTTTTTTCCTGGGGATGGCTGAACACCTGCCTGCTGGGGAGTAGCAGTGAATGAATGCCTTG